CAGGGAACTGAGCTGTCTAGAGGGTAGGGAAGCACCTGATGCCTAGGAAAACTAAATGTCAGAGTCTTACAACAAGATCTTTCCTTTCTTCCCATAGAGGAACTGCGACATGCTGAACTGAACTCACCAGACTGCCTACGAAGGTCTGTGAAGCCTTAAGGGAACAGTGAAAAACAACTACCCAGATAATCCCTGACAAAAAACAGCCCAGGGACATTAGATGTCTGTGAATATACAAACCAGTATGTATTCTATGGGATAATAAGAGTTCAGGACATTTCTTAAAATTACAATGCAATTACCACAAAATTACAGTGGCATTTTTACACTGTCAGGACCTCCATGTGCTACCCTGTGGCTGGTGTATATGATTAGGCAGGAACAACTGCTGCTCTTCAGCCTAGAAAAGAAAAAAAAAAGCATTTATTTAATATATTTCCTGTATTTTCAGATAGGGTTGTATTTATTATAATTAAATGTTGGAAAATGCCATGTTATAATCTTAAGCATTTTTCTATTTCTTTATTCCTAAAGACACCAGAATCCTGACATTATTGTATTTTGGAAAAGTGATGGGATTGCCAAGACTTTATGCTGTAAGTCTTTAAGAGTTTAGTAGATTTATTATTTTCCTTCAAACGAATGCCTTCTTGTCATTGTCAACCTTCCACTGCTTGTCCCCACTTCCAACTCCTTAGATCCAAGCCTAAAAAAAGAAGCTCTTTGGAGCTTGATGCTTTGCTTGTATTTGTGTTAGAGAAACTGTGCTATTCTGGGAACACTCACGCTTCTTCAAACAGTTCTTCCAGGGGTAACATCATGCATGGTTTTCATCTCAGCCATAAGAACTTTCATTGGTCTCCTATCAGCACCACTAGCCAAACCCCAAGTACTGGCAAGGCCTAAAAAATGTGTGTGTATGTGAGTATGTGCATATGGGTGTATGCACATAGGATCATTTATTCTCATGAAAGAGAGGTTTAATGGCCGGTTTTGAAACCACAGCAGCACCATTACAGCAGACTCATCCTGCAGGCTTGCTCTGACATACAGCACTGACACGGACTTGCAGACCTGACCCAACCACCGCTGAGAGGTTTACTGATGGGATGTGTTTTTTGCTCTGGATGAGCCATCACGTCTCTCTGTCCCTGCAGTGGAGGCAGAGGAGGGTTCTACATGCCCGTATGATGGCCTGTGTCTCAGGAAAGCCCCTGCCTAGGCTGTGCCAGCTTGGGTTTGCATGAAGGCAGCTTTGTACAGGGATGGGACTGCACTACACCGGAATATCACCCCCACATTTGTGCTCATCAGCAGCAGCACAGTTTCTTATGCAGACTGAGTTGTACGTTTCTCTTCAAGAAATATTTTATCAACCTTGACTGGAATAAAAACACTGACACACAGGGAAAACTGTCTGCTATTATTTTACAGTTATAAAGAACACAAATCTGCATGATGAGCCAAATTCTCCTATTGCAAGGATTATTTGTTACATGAAACAGCTAAAATAGCAGAAAGAAGCCATTCCTGGAATTCACAAGGAAAAAGATTTTTCTTTACAGCAGCAAAGCAGCACCATTGTCCCACTCAGCATATTAACACTCACAGTAAAAGATGGCAGTTGCAAAAATGTGGGGGAGTACAATTAAATCAGTATTTCTTAAATAGTTCTGGAGTGTGCAAGCTAATATTTTGGAATAATAATGGAGAACGCACCATGTTCTGAGCTGTCAGAGTTTCTGAGGGGGCAGATTCAAAGGTCTTGTGTCACTTAATACCTCTGAATCTCCAGATGAATGGAACAGGAGCAAACAAGACAGACTGTTGTATTTGCATGTTGGATGAGTTATGTTTTGTTTTCTTTTTTTCTTTTTTTAAGCAAATCCATAATTTAAATGCTGCTGTGATGGAAAACTAAAATTGCACAGTACCATACACAGATCTCCTACGGATAGTATGAGTTGTTGCATATGTGTGTGCATGTGTTTGTGCTGTAATTTAAAATATAACATTACCCGAGGCTAAAAACATTTAGGAAACTCCTTTGAGAGAAAGTCTCCACCTCAAAAAGGGGATCCATGGTAATGAAAATCAATGTGGCAGCCAGAAATAGCATTTAAAGCTTTACCAGAAAGATATGGCACATCAAAGAAGTTAAATCAATACTCCAGCCTTCCGTCCCAAATATCACACCTGCAAGATAAGCATCCCTTTCTCTGTGCTGACAACTACACAGTTGTTACTTGTCCCCCTCAGTGTACACTGCATGCTGTCTTTGCCACCACCCTCTCTCTCCATCTCCAGACATCTGATCTGTAGTCAACGACCTGGATTAACAGGAGCAGTTTTGCATCGGCAGTGATACTTTGAAATACAGTGAAACCAAAGAAATGTGGACCTTTACCTTGTGAGCAGCCACAGATGCTGGGATTTCAGTATGCAGCATGGCTGAGGCTAAACTTGGTATCATAACAAAGTGTGGGTCTAAATAAAAGCTGCCTTAAACTCCCAGGAGATTTGCTGCTTCTACACGATGACAGTTGTTAGAGAGTAGCTCTCCTACAGAAACAACCATACCAAATATAGCGTGCTGGAGTAAATGCAAGAGGCAATGCTGGAAGAACGCTAAAAATGTTTTGCTTTCTCTCTGAATGCAACACTATTTCTGTGAGAGGTCAAATAGATGCCGTATCTTAAGGGATTTGGGTATTTGTCCCTCTAGCTCTGTGATTCCCTCAGTTATTAATACAACACAGACATTTTCAGAAGCTCCTGGTCTTTCCTGAGGCTGTGCTTTGGGTTGAGAAACTCCTTCATGTACCAGCCCCAGAGAAGCTGGTGAGCAACTTTCTCTCCCAGATGACTGCCAGCTGCATTGAACGTAGGCCACCAGGATGCCCTAATTATGTCACCTTTTCTACTGGTCTGCTGTTGATCAGTTCCACAGATAGTCTTGATAAAGCCATGTATTCATGCAGGCAGAAGATACAACTGGGAGAGGAAGCAGCCAAACACAGCAATACAGACATTTGCCCACTTTACCACAATGGTGTATTTTCATAGAATGATAGAACGTCTGAGGTTGGAAGGGACTTTAAAGATCCTCTGCTTCCCACCTCCCTGCCATGGGCAGGGACACCTTCCACCAGACCATTTTCTGTGAACTTCTCTGCTGTCTTTTTCCTCCTGCTCTGCTCAGAATGGCACGTGGGTTCCTCACGCAGCTGCTGTGACCCCCAGGAACTTTGCAGGCATGTACAAGCTGCAGAGCCTGTAAGACAGCAAAGTAGTGACCTTGCCTGGAAACTTAGGTACACCAAAGCCAAAGGGAAAGCTCTTCCAGTCCATAGAATGCCTGGATTTTTACCTGTGGATTTTAACCTTTGTGTTCAAAGCACAGCAGGCAGCAGTGCTCATAAAGGAGCTTATAGGAAGATTCATTCTTTGGCCTTTTTTTCCACACAAGTTTTCTCCTCTGCATCTTTTTTTTTTTTAATTTTTAATTTTTTTTTTTCTTATTTGGAGTTCTTCTAACTTCAGCACACAAAGCAGAATGCAGCAAAACCCCTTGTATGTCAGTACAAAACTGTAGCAAGAAATGGTTTGGATTGAAGCTGAGCCAGCTTTCACCTGCCTCGATCCATAACACTTTCAGCTCCCCTGAGAAGCAACCTTGCTGGAAAATGCTGCAAGCAGACGAGTCTGGTGTGGCTCCGTGGCAAGCCAGAATAAAACACAGTCACACTGCTAAGTACTCCTCTGGGCTGTGAGAGAGATGAGATGTCCCAGCCCTTTTGTGTCCCTACAAAATACATGTTTCCACTCTGCAAAACGTGGGTCTCGCTTGCTATGGGGAGAGACAGAAACTGAGCAATACCTTCCTTAATGACCCTTGCTATAACATGCCCCTGTGGGTGCCAAAGGTGGACTTGCCTAAATAAAAGTGAGTGTTTGGACTGCTACAAAATGGGAGATGTCATAGGGGGATGTGCACGCCTCTGAACGATGGCTGGGCCATCTGTTACCGCCAGCGCGGTGGAGCTTGCCTGACACTTGAAACATCATCAACAATCTCAGCTATAAGCTCCCACCATTTCATTTTAAAATTAAAGTAATTTTATGAGTAATAGGAGCACATTCATGCTTGGAAACAGTAGAGCACTTAGAATCTTTTTCTATTTCAGCGCTAGAAAAAAGAAAGGGACAAAGTGCCAGGAAATATTGTTTCTTGGCTGAACCCTTGTAGACTGAGTTTTGGTCCAGAGTGGGTTTTTTTTGCATGACTCAGTGATAAGTTTCTGAACAAAGAACTTTATGATATAGAGGCAATACTGTAAAAAGCATTTAATTCTAGATGTGCTGGAGGAAGTTTTGAAAACTTCTGCTATCTTCTCAGAGCAGTGCTTGCAAATGGATTGAAACCTTCCTTGGGGATTTCTGTAACAAAGTGGGTAAAAATTTAAGTGCTTTGTAATCTCTATGAGAAGAGATAGTATCAGGTAGAGTAGATAATTTGAAATACTTAGAGCAATGATGCTTTTGAAAGCCTTACTTCATTCTTGGAAAAACTAGTTAGTAGGAAAATTACCTTCCAAAAGCTTCTCTGCATACTCTCCTAATGAACTTCCGATTTACATGCAGGTTTTAGATATGACTTGTCTCTTCTAATGTAATTTTCTTCCTTTTATTCAAGGCAGATTTCTGTTTTAGGGGGAAGTATTATGTAGTGTAGATAGCTGCTGTGGAGGAATTATTGCAAATACCTCATTTGTAAAGCTTTTGTTCTTCCACTCTGAAACCCCACATCTCACTTCTCCAAGGAGGAGAGGATATTGTGTTTGACTTATTACAAAGCCTAAAGCATTCTTAGGATTAACTGCAACTAATCACTAAAACATGCCTTCTCATTTTGGAACTGTTGTGACTCTTCAACATGGGAAAAGTGCTTCCTACTTCAAAATCTATTTCATTTCTAATTTTTTTTTCTCTCCCCAAAGGCTAGGTCTGGGCCTGTGCCTTCCTCATCAGCATGCCTATTAATGTCGTCAAGATTGAAGACATGAGAAGGATGAGGGGACCAGCACACAACAGTGAAAAAGATGCCAGTACAAGGATCAAGACCAAAAGCAATCAGACTTCAGACAGAGAAGGAGTAGGAAAGTTGCTGAGGTCTCCACATAGGTGTCTGATAACAGTCCCACCAAGGTGGAAGTGAAACTGTCTCACAACTCCGCCTCTTCTCCCTAGTGCCTGTGGAGGCAACTTCCAGCATGACACATCCCATCTTTGCCTCTCCAGGTAAGACTGGGATATCATTATGAGAATCGGGCAAATTTTTACTTCTTTTGAGATATAGTAACTGCTGTATCTATGATACAATATATTTATGTAATTTATTGAAGGATAATGCTGAAGAAAGGGATGTCAGATGCTGTGCTGGTGTTTAGAAAACTGACCACTAATCTAGTGATTTCCAAAAAGCCACTCTGAGTTACAGCATGGAATAGAAATTGTCTCAAAAAGTAAGTGAAATAAACTTGTGCTTCAGGGCATAAACAAGCTTCATGAAAGGTTAGGATAGGAATAATATCCCCTTCTGACACATTACTTTATAATTGCAGAGTATGGGACTGCTTGCATCGTTCTCTGAAGGGTCTAGTGCTGGTACTTCTAGACACTAGGTAAGTAATTTTTTAAATTTATAGATTCTTCAACTTCTTTCAATGGAAATATAAGTTTTCAAGGACATTTTACACAGGTCAATTACTATGTAGAGACAAAGAACTTCATTTCCTCAATTACATTTCATGATTGCATAAGGGGTAGTTCACAGATGCCCAGGGACTGATGAACCTCATGATGAAAACCACAAGACAACTCAGATCAAGAATCAGATTCTGTCTGACAATTTTCTAATACCTGATGTCTTTAAACCAATGCTTGATTTTTATTTTTTCTAATTACAGAAGACATGCTTCAGTTCAGCCAGAAAATATGAACTTGAGGGAAGAACTTAAAAGTCTGTGGCAAGTTTATAAGGACTGATGTACCATTTGATTGTAATTGATTAATTCTAGACTGAAAATCAATGAATATACAAAATTTCATATTTCTAAGAAAACAAAGACATAAATCTACAGCCATGTTGGCAAATGATGTGCAGATTTCTCCTTGGGGAATCTGCAAAGAAGGCCCACACTTGTGGGAAGGGTGTTCCCAGGATTATGTCACCTACATGTATCATGAAGGAATTTTCTCCTTGGCTGCTCAGATGAGGATTTTTAACAGTTGCCTCCCATTTAGTCCATAACATTTCATTGCTGAGTAACTCATACTTCTTCACACCATTTTAGTTTGATGGTATGTACAAGTAATGCAGAGACCTTTCTTTCCTAGAGGAAATGAAAAAAATAATTAATTCTTTCACTCAGAAACTCAACTGAATTCAATTCAGGTTCATTCTTTTAGGAAAGGTATTTAGCTAATTCTGTCAAATTAAAATATGAAAGGAAAAATGTCAATAATAATGACCATCATCATCACAATTCTTAGTTCTTTCATGTCATGCTTCCTCCACTGAGAATTTTATTTTGCAGAGGGAGAAACTAGCATAAAGCCTTAGAAGGCTCAAGTCATATCTGTAATTTCTGCATATTACTAAACACTAGCATACGTACACTAGCATACGTATATGTACATGGCATAAAATCTCAGCAATGCACTTTTCATGTTTATTTGGCTTTTTGGTTTCATTTGTGAGATTTTTTTCCTTATATTTACTTTAATGTGTATTTGCCAGATGCATTATATGCACAGAAAAAGGTGGAATAACAGGACAGGAGTGTCAGCTGCACTCCATGCCCTTAAGAGAGAGAGAAAAAATATTATCTGGAAATATTTATGGCACAGGGCCCTGCTGGCAGCTGCTCATTCCTATCCCTCACATGGGGTTGTTAACACAAAGACACATCAAGGAATGGCCGAGTATTGGAAAGGCCATGACCAAAGTGAATATTGATTCTCTTTTTCCTTGGCGTGACTGGCTGCGTAGAAAACACTGATCACCAGTGCAGCCTTGAGAGAAGGTTGAATGAATTCATGGAAGAGAAACTCCCCTGAGAGCTACCGAATACACAGAAAACCAGTCTGGCTCAGGACATGTCTGGGCTGCAAAAGGCTGTAAAGTACTTGGAGGAGAGGGGAGATGCTGCTTGCACTTCTCTGATCTCATGCTCCTCGTTCCAAAATCAGCTTTTGGGCGTTGGCATTAGCTGCTCTTGTTTCATTATGCTTTTATTTACTGTTGGAAGGAGACGAGGACTGGAAGCTGTCAAGGACACTGGCTGCAGGCCCTGAGAGACCTCTCTTTCTTGAGGGCTGGCTGCAGCACAGAATTGACAGGCCCTGCAGCTGCCCAGTAAGCATGTTTCATATCCAGAACAAATTTTCCAGAATGCCTAAATGGGTTGAAACTGCAGGTTCTGTTGGCCAAGATCAAGTGACTTGCATATATTGGGAAACTGTTTCCAGTTAGCTTTCTCTCTCTTTGTCTTTCTACCCGTGTTTGAGCATTTTCAATTATGCAGAAATGTATCATTAAGCTCCACCTCTTTACATTTAAGCAGGCAAGGAACAGGGATCTTCAAACTTTGAGACAACTGCAGAATACTTTGAAATATTTTAATGTGACCCACTCTTTCTCTGATAGAAAAACACATATTTCCTTGTTAATTCTGAGTCACGTTAACTGGTACTGGTAAGTTTGTACTTGCAAGCATAGCACACTAGATGGATAGACTGCAGCAAAATGAGTTACGTGTTGCATTTAGAAGCAAATATCACCTTTAAAAAATTTACCTGTCTGCCAAGACTTGGCAAAATGAGAAAGTTCATCTCAGTACACAGAGCAGTTCCTCCCTGCCTGAGTCTCCTCATGGCTGCTGGGAACGCCTGGCATGTCAGGTAACACATGCTGAGCAACAGTCAAAAAGCCCTTCGTTTCTTGTAAAACTGAAACAAGGTTCTTATTGAAAAAAAACTATTTCCAGAGGTATTACAGCTGCAGATGATGCTGTAGACTTGCTTCTCAGCCATCAGGCAGAGCCCAGGAGCCTGCCAGGAAACAGCTTTAAACAGTTTCAGTAGGTAACGTATAACAGGGACTCCTCAGTCCCAAAGAGAGAGGTCCAGCTGCCTTGTGCCAGTGTGTCCTACCTTTCTTTACACCTTCATTACCCAAACAACACACACTAACAGCCAACATTAATATGAAACAAACAATAATAAAATATACCTATTTAATTGTTCACAGTCTGCTAAGTGAGAAGGGCTCCTGGGACATCCTGCGCTGTTTTGACCTCCAGTTGTCTCCTGACTCATCTGCAGCTCTGCTGTTTCATGCTGGAGGATCTTTCAGTTTTGGTTTTGCCTTGCCTACTACATCTGCACTGTAGGTGCTGTTCTCTCCTAGTGTGCCCAGTGGTTGCCCCTTCCTGAGGAAGAGTGATGATTTTTGGAGGCTGTGATGATCTGGTGTGACAGGTGGCTGTCTGACCTCTCAGACAGGAGGTCTCAACTAGCAGAGTCTCCTGTCTGTTCAAGACCTTACAAGCTAAATGTCTTCGCAACCTTCTCCCCTTGGGCTTGAGGGTGGCATCAGGTGCTAGGGCTCTTTCACACTACAAGGTTTGTAACATCTGGCTAATGTCATGGATTATAACAATAAATGACACTACTTATAACAAACATCTCCAGGATTTTTCCAGACTTTTCAATTATTTCCAGGCTTCCTGTCCCCTGTATCTGCCTACAGTTCTCTAGAAATGACAATTGACGTGATTTTGACATTGAGGATTCGTGTGAAGCTGGTGCAGAGGCTGGTAAGAGACTGCCCTGACCCTCTGGGGCCAGAAACATTTGAACTGAAAGTGGAGAGGCTGTAGAAGGGTCAGACAGATGTGTATGATATCACTTTCCTCTATGTGTCATGGGACTTTGTGCACACACTTAAGGCTTCCAAAAGCCTAGAAAGCTGTTCCAAGGCAGCTGGTCTCTGTGGAGCTGGGGCAGTGAGCTGGGGTGGCTGTACACGTTTCTGTTATTAAAAGCAAACCGACCTGCCCAGTTTGTTTGGCTTTTTTGTAGTTTGTTTTTTTTTCCCATGGGTCAGACTGGTCTATCTCCCTGCTATCTCACTGCTTTCCCTGTCTATTTGCTGTGGGCACTCATGCTTGGCCAAAGGGTATGCTCCGTGACTTCACTCAGACAAGGCTGTCTCCCACATGTTCAGCGTATGTTGAATAAACGTCAGATCTTTGCTGGAGCTACTGGGTCGCTACTTAAAAAAATGCTGGGAGTTAGCACAGGCACATCCCGCAGTGCCCATTGTGGGCAGTAGGTTACAGTGCCTACTGTCAAGGTTTTGCAAACAGACATCTGTGTGGTACTCCACACAGCATGCCCTGCTCGCTGTATTGCCAGAGACATTGCTGGGCAGTACCCTCTCCTCACCTGAGAGCTTTGGAGTCCCAGTGACATGTGTTATAGTTGTCTGAGCACTCATCAGTGACTTCTTTGTGATGCTGGCTAATCTCTCCAGGGCTGGATCTGTTTCTCTTAATAATTTTCCTTGCACTCTGGAATCCCACAAGCAACCCTTGTTTTTAATTAGGGGGTCCATAAAGTCTCCGACGATAGCATAGTGTCACAGATCTTACATCCGAAACATAAGGCTCTATTGCCCCTTATTTTTATTCTCAGTTTTGAGCACAATTACTGAGTCCCTTTACAGTCTTATTCTGTCCAGGTCAAGTCTTCAAATAACTTTCTCGATGGTTCAATTGTTCCAAGTATTATTTTGAAAATAATAAGTGACTCTCTTGTGTCACTTCTTGTCCTCCTTGCTCAGTGAGACAGTAAAAAGTTTTACTTCCAAGTTTTCCCACTGTCTTTCACGACCAACTCCATGTATCAATTCTATGCTCACATGGACACCTCAAACTGGCTTTTTGACCTCTCAGTGACACAAGGCCCTTATGGCAGTTTGCCTGCTTCATTTCCAGGCTGTCTTTCTTTGCCTGGACAACAGGGCATTAGTCGGCAGGGCTGATGCTGCAGTGATGTGTGTACTGCACTGGCTGATGACATAAGCTCTGTCCCATGTCTCAGAAAGGGACAGTTTATCTCCAGTTGCAGGTCACCCCCTTGCTGTGTGCTCCCTGATGTCACCTCTAAATGCTTCCTACATAGAACCTGTGCCTCACCCTCCCTGCTCTGGAACTGAGAATATAGAAATACTTGAATAAAAGAACTCAAAATAATTTCTGCCATCCTTTATGGAGTAGCACTGCTACTGGTGTTAATAAGAGAGAAGTCCTGTTAGAGCCTTAGCAAACATCCTTCAGGTAACTGTGGCAAATGAGGAACCATTTAAAGATGGGCTATGTCCTAATATCATCTGTTGGAAAGAACTTTATGTTTCATATATTTGATGTTATTGCTCTGAAAGACTGAATGAGGGAGCACACTACGAATTGAAGTGCTTATGGAAATTAAAGCCATGTTTAAATGAATTTAAAATTTTTAATGCAAAATTCAGCAGTTAGAAATTTTGCATCAACTTCTCCTTAATTAAAATTAATAAGGTTTCAAAGAGTTTTAGTTGGGATAGATGAGGAAAGAA